AAGATTATGTTTACTAGCCTTTATGTAGAGTATTTAAGGTTTTAGGGTTTTTCTTAACAATTGCTAAAGGTTTGTCATACAAAATGTTGTTCACATTGTGTATATATGTGTCTATATGTATATAAGTTGTGGTGTCACACGTGACAGAGATGAAACATGCATACACTGAGGAAAGTGATTCAAGTGGTGATGCTTTTGACTTGTGTCTGGGAGATGCCTAGTTTGAATCTCAGCCAGGACACTGATTATTATGATAGTACCTTAAATTAGGTCATGTCTGCTTGCTTCCACATCCTTTTAAATACATTATTTACTGTCAATCAGTCATTTAGTTTTAGGACTACTGGCATATAGTTACTGATAGCATCATTAAATAAACTACAGACAAATAAGAGATGTATACAAAGTTTCAGTTGGAAAACCTGAAGAGAATAGACCCACTTGGAGGACCTAGTCTTAATTGGGAGGATAATATTAAGATGGAACTGAAAGGAGTATTGGAGGTTGTGGACTGGATTCATTTGGCTCAGGTTAGGGACAAGTGACGTGTTCTTGTGAACACAGCAATGAACCTTTGGGTTCCATAAAGGGAACTGAATAGCACTTGACTAGCTGAGTGGCTTTTAGCTTCTCAGTTAGTTATATATATGTATATATATTTGATCACACTGGTTTCTGCCTGTCCTGTAACAATGATTACATTTTAAAGAGGATCGTTTGTAGGTCAGAATTCTTATTTTGCTGTTGATAGGGTAATAGTGAAGATGAAGTTGACGAGCATATGAGACCTACAGTTTATTAGAATTAAACCACAACCTGGTATAATTAAGAAAAAATTAACAAAAGTTTTGGCTTTGTCAGAAGTGAGGGGAAAGCTTGGTCCATATCCCTACACCACACTCAAGATTGCATACATAATATTAAAATTCTTGTGTAATAGTTGGGGAAATCACCTCCTCTCTGAAAATATGGATGACTGTCATCTTTGGTATTATTTAAGTACGGGATTTAAAACTACATCTTGATTATGAGCCCCTGTAACATCACTTTCATACCAATTTTAGTGAAAATTTAGTCATATTTTATTAAGAAAGGACACATACACATGGCTGCTCAAATTATGTTGTTCTTTCCAAGAAAACTTAGAAAATTAGGAAAATATGTAGAGTTTGAGGTTTTCACAGTGGTGTCTATGAAGAGAGAACTCTTCTGTTAGGGAAATAGTTTCTCTTTTCATTGCCATTAATTTGTTCAAGGTTATAATGACATGTTCACTGTTGAGGAAGTAAGATTAACGGTACTATCAAATCATGAAGAATGTGAACAAGGAGTTCCAAGCAGAACTCATAAAGCATGTATTCCTATTGCACAGATTTCTGGTCCTATACATCTACTACTCCTATTGCTTTATTTTATATTTTCTTTTTAAGAGCTTTTTATTTGAGTACACATTCTGTCTGTGTTAAACTTGAGAGATATAACTTTAAAGTTCTGCACTATTGCTATATTTGTAATTAATGATAGACGTGTCATGCATAATATTTATTTCTGTACCAAATTTCACACGCTTCCAAACTGCAGTGGTCATTTGTTACTGCCATTAAGCTGAAAACTGAAGAAATATTTACCTGGTTTCTGTGTTGTTCCTGTACATTATACAAAGTATTTATCTTAACAGAAGTTCATGTTTTTCAAAGAGCTGTTACCATACATCATGTCAGGACCGTCCATGCATCAGGTGGCATTAGTGCCACTCCCATCTCACAAGTTTGTATGTTTGCAAGATTGCTATGTTGTTATTACCAATTGTAGGAAAATAATAATTACAAGGTTTAGATGACATCAAATGGCATAACATTCTCATCAGATTCCATGATAATCACTCAACTGGTTCAAAACTTCAGTCAGGAGATCCACGTAGACAAACGCATTTATCATGGTGAGGTTGTGAGCCTACTCTTAGTCTTGAAGAATGGAAAGTAGATTGAACCAAACTTCAAGTAATTTAATGTGTTACAGGTCAGGTTAATAGTGGTGGATAGTCTGGCATTCCCGTTTCGTAATGGGACCCTGGATTCTCTGCTGAGAACCAGATTATTGTGTGATATTATGCAAGAACTGAAGATGATGGCAGTGAAGTATAATGTTGCAGTAAGTGTATATTACTTTGAGTTAACCAAGGTAAATCCTAATTATAATTTTATTAGGAATTCTGCCAAACCAAAAGACAGGCAAATTAAGTAAGCAACTGACAAACTACATGTTGTCACACAATCATGTGACTATAGACAGGGTTTGGATTGGTAATCAGATTTATTTGATTCTTAAACAACTTGTGACTACACCTTACACATCACTGGCACACAAAGACTGGTGTCCTCAGTCACGGTTTTCACTGTTTTGCTTCTTAACGTTGTATTTTAATGTTCTGTTGCACTGATTTTCGTCCATGATATGTAAGCAATGTCCATCTTTTAGTGCACTCAATTTTACTTGTTACTTCACAACATGTTTTGGCACTATAGTGCACTAAAAGACGGACATTGCTTACATGTCATGGACGCTGCTTCTTAACATTTTCCTCTGCTTCTGGCCTCACATCCTTGCAGGCTGAAAGGCATCTCACACCAACCTCCTGCTCTTCTAATTGAAGGCTGACTCTAAGTAAAATTTATGCTACAATGAAAAGTCAGTCAGTCAGTAAGACTGTCTTGGTGTCAAGCATCCATCCAGGGCCCAAGACCAGATTTTTATTACTGCCAGACACTTGTGGGTTTGTTGATGTGGGACACCCACTGTGAAGAGACATTGGGTCTGTTGTTTACAACTGCTGCTGGCCATTGCCAGTGCAGCCATTCTCAGGTCAGAGTCCTGCAGGACTCATGACCATATTTTACTGTCTCAGATTTGAGATGCCCCCAACCTGGAGGGCCAGGTCCCTGTATTTATATCCCCCAGGAGCAGGCTGGTCCAGTCCCCAGGCACTGGGTACCCTTTTCATTACCTCCTATGACTCGCAGGGTTATGGTGATAGATATTTGAACCCACCTCCATGCAAGGGGAAGAATGACTGCAGACTGCTGCGCATTATGTAGCCTTATCACAGACTGCACAGAAAACGTCACTTCCAACAGCTCTTCTATTGTTACATGCGTGACTGGTGTGGCGATCGTGTGACAGCTATGGCCTAGCACCAGGCATGTTTGCAGAGCCATACCCTAGCAATGGCTGTCTGCAGACCTCACAATTCTGGCTTTCACCATACTTACTATAATATTAATAGAACTCAAATATTCTGTACTGTTAATGTAAAATCCAAAAATTGTACATGATCCTGAGACAGTTCTGATTACCTCCCACATAACCTGTTTTCCTACAGTCAATATTTCATCCTAATGCCATTTCCTATCTGCTTGGTCTTTATGATGTGATTTTTGACCGAAAAACAAATACCAGTGTCTTAACATCACCCTAGTAGCTTGTCCTGGCTCTTTGTGATTTCTTTTACATTCCTGAAACTAAGAATCTTCTTGATATTGAGAGCAATATCTTTGCACTAAAAGGACTTGCTGAAAATGATTTCTAGCCATGTTTCCAAACATGGGTCATGTGTGCAAAATGTGTTGAAGGTTGGTGGAAATGTCTTCGTCTTTTCAGAATCAGCCTGGTTATGTTAGGCCTTGTATTTGTGTACATCATAGCTTTTTCGTTTATTCTTTGTTCTTTTTTAGTCCCTTATCTGTCATATGAATGTTTTAATTTTCAAAATGTCACATCTCTAAATGATGTAATTGAGTTTGACGTGCATTCAGTTTTCTCTTGTTTCCTTGATAGGTATTAGTGACAAACCAGCTGACTACCAAAGTAGGCCCAGGAAATGATAGTCACTTAGTACCAGCTTTAGGTGACAGTTTTGGCCATTACAGCAATCAGAGACTTATGCTGGGTTACCTTCAGCATGGTTGTTATGCAGCTGTCCTGTTTAAAAGCGTAAGAAAACCACAGTCATCTGTAAAGTTCCAGGTAGTTATTACAGTTGTATGATGTTTATGGTGTTTAACAAAGAAAATCATCTTTGCCATATTATCCAAACTTCTGTGTCATTTATTATAATTTCAGATACTCAAGAGCGGTATTCGGGATTGCAGCACATCAGTTAAATGAAATATACACTCCATAAAGTGCCATTCATAGGAGGCTGTGGTAATGTTAACTGCAGACTGAATTGATATGTTTGTTTCAAGATTCATAATACAATACAATAATACAAGCATATGTGTTAATGTGTTTGAATATTAGTTGCCTGTTGTAATGTTAAGAAATCATGAGAAGAAAGAAGAAATTGATGACTGTTCATATAGAACTGAAACTGTGCTATAGGAAGAGGAATGGGGAGGAACTTTGAAGAAAGTTCCTCTGGAAATTTTGTGTGAACTGTTAAAATTATTACTCTCATTTTGAAATATCAGTTATCTATTTAGCTGATCATAATTATGAGAGTATTTTTTGCTGGGTTGTTTTGTTTCACATACAACTACCCAATTCACTTCAGCTTGTATGGTGTATCAGCATTACAAATGGACAATACACAAAAGGACGGAAATCCAACAAGATAACCAGTCTATCATAACCGCAAACCGCTTTGAAGTGCTGTCGAATCTGAAAGAGCCTGAATTCAAAAAGGTAACTCGTCAACAAACTAGTGGGAAAATTAGGAGAAAAAAGGATAATCTTCAAAATCCAAGAAACAAGATTTTATTTCTTGGTGACAGTCATGTAAGGGAAATGGCGGCTAAACTACAACATAACCTAGATGTGGAATACAGTGTTCAAGGACTAGTGAAACCTGGTGCAGATCTAGCAACAATTTTAACTTCAGGTGAATGATATTGAGGACTTCTCTAAAAAGGAGTTGGTGATTGTGTGGGGTGGTACTGAGGATGTTAGCAGGAATGAGACTGATAAGGGACTGATCCAAATTAGGAACTGTGTAAACAAGAATACTCACCCAAATGTTTTAGTTATGAACCTAACACATAGACATGACTTGGGGCAAAAATCGTGTGTAAATGATGAGGTGAAAAGGTTTAACAGAAAGTTAAAAAAAAAAATTATGAAGGTGTTATAGAGATAGAATCCAAAAGGGACTCATTTACTAAACATTGGTTACATATGAATTCAAGAGGTAAGGAGCAGATAGTAAAAGGAATAGTAATAGAAATTTTGGATATGTGGAGGGAGAAAAAGTCTGACCCAATTATAATGAAAGGGAAGGATGAACAAGAGCTAGAAGAGGAAGGGACTCATATTCCTCTAAGAAATGGACCCTTGAAAACAGGTGGGAAAAGAAGTGGTCAACCCAGGAACATAGAAGGTTTGATTGTCACTGAATTAGACAATACCCATGATAAACGTAACAGGAGAAAACCCAGTAATAGGAGCTCGGATTTTTTATGGGAGGGTTAAGGTATGAACCAAATATAAATAAGTATCTGGCTTTAACTAACAAGTTCCCTAAAAGTGGAGATAAAAATTGTGGCGAAAATCATAATGGACAGGTTGCTAACTCTAATACTACCAACTTATATCAAAGGAAAACTAATCAATCTACATCTCATTTTCTGACGGTATGTCATCAGAATATAAGAGGCTTATTTGATAAAGCTGAACAACTGTTAAATTCCTTATTATTTGATCCGCCTGATATAATTTGTTTGACTGAATACCATTTAAAAGAATATGAAATAAATAAAATTTGTGTAGATACAGTGCATACAATCAAGTGCGCGCCGCGGCTGCAATTTGCCGTGAGTCATACCACCGCAGAACGGATGCAACTCCTCCCCGCGACTGCAGTGCTCCTACGCCGATGGTTGCATAATCGGAACCCGAGGTTGCATTAAACAGTCAGTCTTTGTCTTGCTGTGGAAGTGGAGTGGAATGTTTACAGCTGTCGACAGACGGTGGAAATGAAGTTCACTATTAAACAGCGTGTGTTTATTGTCGAAACTATTGCAAGGAAAAACATTTACAGAAAATTCGCACGTAGGTTTCGTCAGAAATATCCTGACTCGCCAGTTCCCACAAAGTCGTGTGTAAACAGGCTTCTGAAAAAGTGGCGGGCCACAGGTTCAGTGAGTGACAAGAAGAAGCAATCGAAGAGAACTGTGCTGACTGAAGAAAAGGTTAAGGATATTCAGGCAAGATTACAGATCAGTCCTCGAAAATCGTTAAGACGCTTAGCACAGGAAACTGGTGTTTCGCTAGGATCTGCTCGCACAGCCACAAAGTTAATCAAATTTCGCCCGTATAAAGTAACAGTTGTGCATGAGCTGAAAGAACCAGATCATGCAGCAAGAATTCGTTTTTGCAACTGGCTGCTGCAAAATGTACACGATGGAATAGTGGATCCTCAGCTTCTATTCATGACTGATGAAGCGTGGTTCCACGTTGGTGGCCACGTCAATGCACAAAACGTAAGAATATGGAGCAATGAAAATCCTCACGCTATACAGCAAGTGCCATTACATAGTGAAAAGGTGGGTGTGTGGTGTGCTGTAAGCCCGCGGCGAATCATTGGCCCCATATTTTTCCACGATACCGTGAACTCTGATCGGTACATTAATGACATACTGAATCCCTTCTTCGATCAGTTGAATGCCGAAGAAAGACAATACGGGTATTTTCAGCAGGACAACGCTACAGCACATACGGCTAATGCATCCATGGTCGCAATACAGGAAGTGTTTGAAGACAGAATTGTCAGTAGAGGACTGTGGCCTCCCAGATCCCCAGATCTCAGTATTTCTGATTATTATCTTTGGGGCAACCTGAAGCAAAAAGTCTACAAAAATAATCCCCGCAGCATTGATAGTCTTCAAAATGAAATTACACGCGTAATTCATTCAATTACCGTCGACGAACTGCAGAGAGTGTCGCGTAATTTATTTGTGAGATGCGCGGCATGTTTGCAAGCAGAAGGAGGTCACTTTCAGCACCTGTTATAAACCACGGTAAGTTATCTTTTTACTGTATTCTTATAAATGTGTGCATGTAGAGCAACTGATGGACGGAGACTCAGCGACACCACTACACTCACGCTATCGGGGAACGGCACTGCAGTCGCGGGGAGGAGTTGCATCCGTTCTGCGGTGGTATGACTCACGGCAAATTGCAGCCGCGGCGCGCACTTGATTGTACGCACTGTAATTATGTATTCTTCTTCTTCTATGGCGCAACAGCCCGATGTCGGGCCTTGGCCTCCCTTATCAAGCCCCTCCATTCCTCTCTATCCTGCGCTGCTCTCTTCCAGTTCCTTACGTCCATTAACTTCTTTGCATCTTCTTCCACTGCATCAATCCATCTAGTTCTTGGTTTCCCAGCACGTCTCCTACCACCTATTGTACTGTATAATATTTTGTTCGGGATACACTCCTTAGTGATTCTCTGTACATGCCCAGCCCATTGCAATCTTTTAAGCTTTATCGTCATAGATATCTGGCTCCTTATATAATTTGTATAACTCTTTATTATATCTTAATCTCCATATCCCATTCTCTTTTATTGGTCCATAAATTCGTCTTAGGATTTTCCTCTCGAAAGAATTGATGACTGATTCCTCTTTCTTGTTTAGCGTCCAACCCTCACATCCATAATAAAGCACTGGTCTTATCTTTGTTTTATATATTTTTGTTTTAATCGCTCAGTGTATATCCTTTGATCTAAAAACCGATAGTAATGAAAAATATGCATTATTCGCTAGTTTTGCTCTTCTTGTTATTTCATGATTTTCCTCTCCATCTTTGTGGAATTTCGATCCTAACTACATGAAGTCTTCAACTATTTCTATCCCGTCCCCTTCCATGTTAATTTCTCCAGTTTGCCTTGGATTCCTTCTAGATTGTATCAGCATTTTAGTTTTATTTACATTCACCTCTAAGCCAGTTGTTTTTGCTATGGTTTTTATTTCTTTCTATATCTCCTTCATTGCTCCCAGATAATTATGTATTAGGGGCCAATTATTGTAGATCAACACAAAAATGGGGGTGTATGCATATATATTTATAACTGAATTAAATTTAATTCTGTATGTGTCTAACTACTGTGTAGAAAAGGACATCGAAGCCTGTGCAATAAAATTAAGCCTGACTAGTATCACGTTGATCATATTAGCTATTTATAGGTCACC